TCAGCCCACAAGAAAGCTTCCACGAGAAACTCAACCCTGAGACCCCAGGACGTCCATCGGTTTTTGGTGTGGGAACGTCACGCCTTCCATAGCAAAACCCTCGAAACCCGCGAAACCTAGAGCGCCCTGGAGGCGAGCAGGGTGTCTCTTGGCATGGCTCTCCACCGTGGGCGCCTCGCGAGCGCTCCGCGCTGGTGGGGCGAGGGGGCACGCGCCCCGGCTGCGCCTCGGGGCTCGGGGGTGCCCGCCCATGGGCGCCTCGAAGGGGCGCCTCACGGACACCCCGCGCGTTGGGGGCGGACGCGCGCCGAGGTTGCGCCCGTTGCCCGCCACGCGGGCACCCCGCCCCAGGAGGGGCGGGGATCGCGCCGAGATTTTGCCCGGTGCCCGCCTCGTGGGCGCCTCGCGCCCCGCGCGTTGGGGGCGGGGATCGCGCCGAGGTTTCGCCTGATGCTCGCCTCGTGGGCGCCCCGCGCAGGGGGGGGGAACGCGCCGGGGTTGCGCCTGAGGTGCCCGACCGTGGGCGCCCTGGTCATGGGCGCCACAAGACGTGCAGGGCACAGCTCAGCCTCGTAACTCACACCGCAGAGCTTTCGCCACACAACGCGCACTGCATGACTTGCGCCGCCGAGCTCAGACCACACAGCTCAAACCACAAGATGAACGCGGAGCGACCCCAATCAGGGGAAAGCTTCCTATTGCATGGGCGCATGGCTGGGCATTGCTTGGCATTGCTTGGCATTGCTTGGCATTGCTTAGGGAACCTGGGGAACCCGAGGAACCCGGGGAACCCGAGGAACCCGAGGAACCCAGGGAACCTGAGGACCCAAGGGAACCCGAGGAACCAAGGGCACCCGAGGAACCCGAAGAACCCGAGGAATCAGGGAATCCCGAGGAACCCGAGGAATCTCAGGAGAACGGGCGACGTGCCCCTGCGAAGCACAATTCTTCTTAACCAAGTAAGAAACCCTGATGCAAGCCTAAGTGGGGAATTTGCACGATATGGCTGACACATAGCTTACACCTAGCTCGCACCGCATAGCTCACACCACATAGCTCATGCCGAATAGCTTACACAACGTATCGTAAACCGCATCGCTCAGGCAACATAACCACACGTTACACAGCATATCGTACACAACATAGATTACACCACATAGCTCACACCGCATAGCTTTCACAGCCTTGCGTTCAACTCCACGATGCAACAACTTACTGTTCGGGGCACACGCTTGCTAACATACTTTCGTAGGTGTTGCAAGCAACGGAACTGCTTGAAAATCATGTTGGTCCCAGGTCGTGCACTTCTTGGTTACAACACGTGTAAAGCTGCGAAATCATGGTTCACCTTGGACCCCGCGCAACTCAATGACACTGCACTATGCACTTCAACTCCCGATCGGACGTGGCGCGTGGTTTGCATTCAACTATGATGAAGTCACGTGCCATCACCGAGCGCGCAATATTTCTTCACTTCGACCGCCCGCTAGGCTGATTCACCAACAACACCGAGGGGTTCTTCAGAAAGCCGCGTGGTCTTCAAAGGTATACAGAAATTCCCAGGGGTCTTCACGGAGGTCCCCAAGGGCCCTAGGCCTCTGGAGGCGACACATCGGAAGCGTCCAACCCCTCGATCCTCGAGAGAGGGGCAATGAGGCTTGGCCTAAACGCCTCACGGCTGGCCTCGGAAGAGGAGAGGGGACCCGTACCTTCAGCATCGCTGACAGATCGCGACGACTTGGTTTTCTGGAATTGCCCCTGCGGAAACAAATTTAAAACATGGGGACGCTATATTCCGCGACGGAGAACCGTTCCAAAAGCAGGGGTCGAGGTCGAAGGGCCCGAGTCGTGAACAGAAGACACGTCCGAGACCTCAAGAGGAACGGAGGAGGAGGAGGAGGAGGAGGCAGACTCCAGGGGGAGGAGGAGTGAGAGGGGAAGGGTTGAGGGTTGAGGGATGAGGTGGTGGAGAAAAAGTGGGGGAGTGAGGATGCTGATGAGGAAGCGGAATAATTGGAGAAGAAGCACCGACCGACAGCTCTGAGCGTTGAGACCCTGGGCTCTGGAAAGGACAGCAAGGAGGAAGAGGAGGGGCGAGGGAAGGAGGACGCAGGCAGGAAAAGGTACGGGGATGGAGGCGGAGCGAGACCTCCTTCTCCTCCTCCTCCTACTCCTCCTGCGCCTCCTCTTCCTACTCCTCCTCCTCCTCCTCCTCCCCCTCCGTCTGGATGAAGGAGGAAGCAGTTGAAGAGGATGGCAGACGTGGAGGAGAGGGAGGGAAGGACAGCAGGAGAGGGGAAACTAGAAGGATGGGAAAGGAGGAGGAAGGGGAGCACGAAAGACATGGAGAGAAAGAGAGAGACAGAGAGCGAGAGAAACTATGCCATACAACGGAGGACGCGGAGGGTCATAGGAGAGGGCGGGGCAGCGAAAGGAGGAGAGAGGGTGAAGGAGGAAGGAGGAGAGGGGGGGATGAGAGCGGTACTCAGGCAACGGCGCTTCACGTCCGACGCCCCCTACGACAAACCCTCCCGCCCCCCCACGCACGGCCTCCTGCATCTTCGCAAGCCACGCTGGCACCTCGTCCGCGCGCTTCGCGTTACCGCAGCACGTGATCACGGCTGTGTAGCTGGAGGTGTCTGGACGCAACCCGACCTTGGGAATCACAGGCAAGAGCCACAGGCAGAGCTTGCAAAACCGATGCGCCAAGATAAGTATGATCTGGCAATCGCTTGGACGTCCATTACACATGCATTGTTCGGTTTCGCGCATGCCTTTCTCAAGACGGAATCGGCGATACATGGCCGATCGTGGCTTCAAAGATAGCCCAGCCCGCCCTTTCAACGTGCGGATTCGCCATCGGGGGCCCATCGCCAATCCATCTGCGATGCATCGCCGATTCCAGCTCGACGTGTCCCCCTCTGAGCCTATCCCCCCCTCGCTGCCCCTGAGAAAGAGCGTCACCAACCCAGCGAGCATCCGTTTGCAGACATTGAACGGGGACAGACCGTTCTAGCGTTCTCATAGGCTGACCACGGAGTGTTCTTAGAACGACAGCATGTTCTAAGCACAGGTGAACGAATTCTTAGACTAAAAACCCGACTGCTAAATGCAATACTGTCGAAGCCAAACCACGAATATGCTGAGAACATCCCATGCAAACAACGGCAACTTCTTGGAACATTCCTTGTTTGGACGCCCAGGAAATCTACGGAACAAATGGGCCCGGTGCCCAACAACAAATGCTGTCCTTGAACGACAGCGGCCGCTGCTGTGCAAACGACTCCTGTCTCAAATGGACACCGCCCGCGGCGGGGCGGACAGCGCGCCATGTTCAAAGTGAGCAGGGACTGTGCCTGTCTTCGTACCCACTCTTCCCGTGCAATACCCATTCCATCGCACCTTGTGGATGCCATGACAATGGACACCCTAATAATCATATCATTATTAAAATGTACGAAAAAGGTTCAAAACATGTTGAACATCTGTTTTTTACATGTCCAAGAGATGTTTGCAACATGTTTATACATCTGGAAATTATTTGCCAACATGCTTCCTCTCCAATAATCGTCTTCCACAAATCACACCAATCTTGGCAGGTCAGGACGCTTCGCCCCTGGTGGAGGAAGGGCAGACGCGGAGCAGAGGTGGGGCGGAGCGCTGCAAAACCGCGCGAGAATTTGCGCGCGGCCTCTCTTGCAATGCCCTGCCCCCTGCGGCGCTACGGCGGGAGCGTGCCCTCCCGCGCGCCGCCGCGGCCGACCAGCCGGCGGCGGGGGGCCCGCCTGCGATATGCGCTGGAAGATCGTCTCGGCGAGGCTCAGGTTGCCTGCCCACGCCGCGGAGGGGCAACGAATGAGGAAATTGCTCTTTTCTGTGCTTCGAACACTCGGTCGTCCTGAACAAAAACCGCGGTGGGCCTGTAGGAATGCTGGATCGGTCAGTCCCTGTTCGTCAAGTTCCTGTGAACGGATGCACTCTTTCAGGAGCTCTGATCGGGGAGGGATGGGCTCAGACAGAGGCGCATCGACATGGAGCCAGCGATACATCGACGATAGATCGGTGACAGGCCCCCGCTGGCAAATCCACAGGCTCCTGCTGGAAGACCATCTCGGCGAGGCTCGAAATGCCTTCCCACCCTGAGGTCCATGCGTGGCATTTGTTTCACAACGGTGTTGGCTGCGAGTGCACCTATGTATAGGTGTGTATATATATATATATATATATATATATGTGTGTGTACATCTATGTATATGTATATATACACATATGTCTATGTATGTGTTTGTGTATGTACGCACACACACACATATATATATATATATATATACACACACACTCTTGCCCACAAACGGGCATTGTTGCCCGGTTTCGGGCCCTGAACCCTCACATGTCGATCCGGCTCGAAAACTGACGCCGAAAGATGGGGTCTAGCGCTGCGGTCGTGATGTTTCACGATGTGTTAGTTTTCGCGACGCCAGATCTCAAGGCACGCCGCGCCACACAACTGCACTAGGAAGCACACGAAGAGGTCGTCCTCGTCGTCGTCGTCGTCGCTGTCGTCGTCGCCGTCTTCGTCGTCGTCGTCGCGGTCGTCGTCGTCGTCGGCGGCGGCGGCGAAACTTCAATGCTTTTGCTTTTTGGGCCTCGGCGAGGGCCCTCGCCGCCATGCCTGATATCCAAGTTGGAACGTTCTGCGGGACGGGTCCAGGGCAAAACATTCAACGACACTTTAAAAGAGCACGAGCAACCGTCACCATATAATTGTTTGACCTGACCAGTCTTGCAACTTCCGCCTCTAAAGGGACATGTCCGACTTCAGGCTGTCGTGCCACTCCACAATCGCGCGAAAACTGGACAATCGCGCGACCACATGTGCAGTAGCCAGCTTTTGCCCAGGCTGGCCACGTCGCGTGCACACGGCAGTTAGACTGCCTCCTATGACCAAAACCGGAGAAGAAGCGGAGGACGAGGACGTGTGGGTTTCCCGGAGGCCCTGGGGGGGCCCTTGGCGGTTTGATGAACTCGTGGGCGTGTCCACTGGGGTTCTGGAGGTCAGGTGAGGGCAGGAGGACTGGTCCCCACACGCCCCCCCGTGGCGGCAGTGGGTTCGCGTGCTTCGCCTTCTTGTTCGCAGACAGCCAAATCATGCCGAACGACAGTAAATCGTCGTCTCGTTCAAACATGACTTCAAACAGTACCATCGCCTGTCCTCGTTATCTTCCTACTCGGTATCATCCTCGTGGTCACGCTGCCGATCCTGCTTTCCACGTTCTCATCCGGTTATCATCTTTAATGTCCTTTTCATCCTCGACCCCCTCCGCCTACATCTCCGCCTCCTTGTCAGTCTTCCCCGGGGGTTGGGCGGACTTTGCGGTCTCTGCAAGCGCCAATGCCAGGGGCCCCTCCAGGGCGCAACACTGTGCACACTTATCAAAGTTGCGTCCAGCCGTGGCCACGAGGCTGAAAAACGGCAAAGCCGTGCAACTCCCCCCTCCTCCTCCGCCTCTGGCCCGAAGGCTGGAGAATGATGACGACGCTCAACTTCCATTCTGTCTGCCAGAGAATGCCTTTGCTGCAGGGGGCACGGGCAGATATCCCGTCGACCGGCGGGCATGTTCCAGAGACGACCTGCAGCAGCCAAACAACATCGAGATTATATGCACCAGGCATACTTGCAACCCCTGGATAGCAGGCCGAACGAAACATTAACAAACGCTAGCATTCACAAGGCGAAGCGACTGATACGAGCGTTTCTTAAATTCTCAGCCGCCGAGACCGTCCAATGGGAACCCCGGCGGGCGAAATCCCCGGGACATTGGTGGACAGAAAGCCCCCGCGGCGCACAGCGAAGGTCCAAAGAGGCAAGATCGGCATGAATTCTACGAGGCCCAGAGCACCTGTTACCCACGCCAACACAGGTGGGTCGGACCTCCAGTGGAGGCGACGAGACAGCCCTATACCCAATTCTGGTAGGTCTAAGGTGGACGCCACCGTGCTGGCACAGGTTTAGATCCGCCGATTGCGTAGCCAGCGACACATCATACTTGACGCGTCAAGGCGTTGCATAGGACACGCGGCACAGGCCTCAGCGAGCACAGGGACGCTCAGGCGATGGCACTCGAGGATCAAATAGGACGGCCCGCCACAGAAAGCCCGAGAACGAGCCGAGGGAACCCCAGGAGCCGAGGCCAGGGAGGCCATAACGCCCAAGACCACCGACCCGCGCAGCCACCCCAAGATCCTCTGGCGCACCGCGGGTCGAGACCAGTCGAACCCAACGTCATGTAAAGGGTCGACGCAAATGGCGGCATATCCTAAGGCGCGCAAGCGCGCAACGATGGGACGAGAGGATCGTCCGAGCCCCCAAAACACACTGTGTGGCCTCACTGAAGCAGCAGTCATGACACTTTTCAGTTGACGAGTCAAATAGCGGTCCACCTGCCAGTCAGCGCGGGTCTCACCTGCCCACGAGACGTCGAGTGAGGTTGCCGCGGGATCTGCAGGTCGAACGGCGCTCCGCGGCTGACCGCCTCGAACAGCGGCACCCAGTTCCGTTCCGCCTGGGGGTCGAAGGACGGCACTGCCCCCCGAGGATCTGCCTTGGCTGCTGGAGCTTGGTGCGCTTGGCGCAACGGCAGAGCGAACAGGCCGTGATCTTCCTTCCACGACCCTTGGCAACGGCCACTGACCTTCTCGCACTGAGCAAGTCGTCGCTGGCAGAGCTGCGGCGGAGCACGCGCAGCGGGGGCGGGATGGCGAGGCCGAGCGCCTCGGCAACATCGTTGAAGGCGACGCGCACTTCCTTCGCCAGGAAGGCCCACCGCGGCGCTGCACCTCGGCGAGCCGTCTTCGGCGCCGCCCAGGGCGGCCACCAAGCGGCCTGGTCCGTCACGGCGCTCTTCCCGCTCTCCATCGCCTTGCTGGTTCTCGGCCGCGCCGAGCGGATAATCCCCATGGCAGGCAGCAAGTGGCGCACCGCTGCCAGCGGCGCGCGCCCCGCGGCCGCGTCGAAGCCGGCCGCCTAAGGCGGGGGCGCCAAGAAGCCCGTCAAGATCACGTCGTGTTCCTGCGTGGCCGACCAGAGCAGCCCCGCCCCCAGGCACCAGTTGACTCGCCGCTGAGCGTGAGCTGCGCAGTGCTTCACCGTCGTGTCCGAGAGGGCCGCGGCCTCGACGAAGCTGAGACACCTGCCCTGCCGCTGCGACACCGTCGTCTGAGGCGCATGCCTTTGACGAGCCAGCGTCATCGCCCAGTGCGGGCGGCCGCGCCGAGAGATCACCTGGCGCTCCGCCTGCGGTCGGGCTGGCGGCCTGCCGCTCGGGCCCCGCGAAGAAGCCGCCCCGCGGCGGGGCATCGGGCGGGTTGAACTCCGAGGGGGGCCCACCTCACATGCGCGCGGCAGCCCGAAACTAGGGGCAAGGACGCGAACATCCTCAGGGGGCGCGCGAGGTTCGGTGCCCCCCCGCGCCCCTTGCCGACGTCGAGAACCAAAGCCAAGTTGTCGACGAACAAGACCAGACGGTGCCCCAAGAGCGGCCCATACCGTAAGAGATGACGTAAGGCGAACTTCAGAGCATCCCCTCAGACTCCAGGATGTTTAGCGTCGAAAACGCGGCTCGAGTGCACTGTCTCCCACTGGGGGGGGGGGCCTCCAACGGCTGCTTTGGGATCTCTACGAAGGAGGGAATGCAATGCTCAGCGACCGGGGGGCCCTCGAAGTCGGCGACAGCTTCTGCGCTGAGAACCCTTCGGGGCCCATCGCGATCCCCGAGAGGCCCCTGTCTAGGCTCCAGCGCATGCCCTTCAGCTCCAGGATGGCCCGCCTCGCGCCCAAGACGATGCCCACCTGGCGCGTGCTGACGAGCGGCGATAGCGCCAAGGAGCCTGCACCGCGTCTTTTCAGCGAGGCGCGCGATGTCAGCAACCGCGCGCGCGGGCAGCTTACGGCGGCAGACCCCTGCCCCGTAGCCCGAGGAATCCGAAGCCGCGGCGTCGGGGGCCCACGGGAGGCGCCAAGAGGAGGCCGACAGAGGCAGCGAAGGCTGAACCCAGAGGAGCTCCTTGAGGACACCATCCCACAACTTCATGGGCTCGGCGGACCGCTATCTCGCGAATGCGAAAGTAGCGAACAGCATCGGCAGCGTCTCACGCCTGCACAGCATCGCCCAAGTGATGTGACCGATCGAAGTGGACATGGCGCGATGAGACATCTGCCCATGACGCAACACAAAACGAATACCCACTCTGAGACGAGCGATGCGACCACTGGGTTTTAGCATACTACCTGTTTGTCCAGCAAACTCGGGGCCCATGAAGATCCACGAAGTGCGAGCCTCCTGCACCTCATGCATAGGCAATCCCTGAGAGGCCACCGCGACTGAGACGCTCTGCAACTTGGAATCGGCGAGCTCCATCGATCCCGCGACGACGCAGAATTTGCCATCGTAGGCGGCCTCCGCCCAATACGTCGGATGCTGCAGAGCGAAGGACGGGGCCCCGCCCACGATGAAGCGATCAGCCTCAGCTCCAGCATCCCGGGAGATGGCATCTTGGCAAAAGTGAAGCGCCCTCTTCCAGCCCGTCGGCATGACCAAGATCACGGGGGCCATGTCCACGTCGAGGGGAACTCCGTCGTAGCCCAGAACCCGATTCGTAATGCACGGGAGCGCGAAACGACGAATCAACTCCAAAGGAAGCTGCATGTGGTTAAAAAGTGGTTAAAACATGATAATGAAAAAAAACACTGAATGTCCGCCGACGCCATGTAAGCCGCGGCGCCAGCAGCGATCTCCACCCCAGACCAGGCGGCACTCGTAGGTAGCTGCTCGCTGGCTGGTTCTTGGAGAACAGATTGGCAATGCAAGTGCCGAACACCATCCTGAGGCCCCCGTCCTTCTCGGTTGCAACGAACGCCCCTGCCGTCGGCTGATCTCGGCCTCGACGGACACGGAACCGCAACATGCCCGCATCATCAAGGCGACGTAGAAAGTCGGCGCGACGATTGGGGCAGCTCATCAAAAGAGGGTCGACGAATGGCTTGGCAAGTCCAGACTCTCGGCGCCTAGCCGCGGTCGGTCGACCCGGGGGCTCGCATTCTCGTCGTCCATGACTCCAGCCTGCCAAGAGCGGCCTCGCTGCAGCTGGACTACACTGGTGTCGGCTTCGTACCGGCAGCGGGCCAGGACACGAAGTCCTTGGCGTAGGGTCGAACTGTAGTCTCGTCTTCACAATGCCCATGAGAGCATTACGGACCAGCTCTGCAAGGGCGGCATCCGAGGTGGCGTTGCTGACGCAGAGGTCGGCGGGCCACTCAAATTTCATGAAAGTATCTGCAACGTGCTCCAACGCTTCGAGGCTCAGATAAACTCCAGCGAACTCCGAAGAGCGGGCCGCCGCTGAAGTTGTGGACGCCGATGCCTAGTGGCGCAACGCCCGCCCCTCGCGGGCCTTCCCGCGCTCCTTGGCGACCGCAGCTTCCGCCTTCAACCCGTCAGCAATCCAATTGCTGAGCAATAGGCGCACGCGCGCGTTCCCGCGGCTCTCATGGGCGCCCAAGAAGAGTTTGTTCTCCACCCGATCGTCGAGGGCATGAGCTTTGTCCTTGTCCTTCTTCTCCCCGCTCTTCGGCGCTTGAAGGCCGTTCCCACTACCTTCTCTTCCAGCAGTTGAAGACGTCTGGCCGTCATCTCCAGATGGGCGAGCTCGCCCACGTTGACCTGGTCGTAGCACGCAGCGGACTCAAGATCCTGCAGGGCAACGCGTGCTCCAAGGTGATCGGGTCGTCCTCCAACATCCTCCACTCCATCATCCACTTGGTGCGCCACGCTGCGGGCGACGACGCGCGGCGCTGGATGTGGGCACAGGCCCAGGCCGCCGTGCGAGACCCCCGCGCAGGCCAGTCCGCCCACGCCGAGGACGCGCGTGGCAGGATCCCCTCGCGGAAGTCCCGCCAACGATCCCCTCTCGCGTAGTGGCTCACGGGGTTCACGCGCAGATCCGCGACGCCTCCCCCAGCTTCCGCAGCGCCTCCAGCGGCTGGAGCGCCGACCGCGGCGCCCGCTACGCCCGCCGCCGCCGGCTGCGGGGGCGCGGCCACAGGCGCAACGCCAGCGGCAGCGGCGGGCGCGGCTCCAGCGAACGCCGCCACCAACCCAGGCAAGGCAACTCCTCCAGCAGCGGCAGCAGGCGGGGCCAAGCCCGCGGCTGGCGCGGGCCCAGCGGGCAGCGCCAAGGCCGCCGCGGCGGGGGGCCCACCGCCTGGCACAGCGCCACGATCGGCCAGCGCCGTCACCCCTGCAGCCAGGCCGCCTGCGTTGCCCGCGGCCAGCGGGAGGTGCGCGGGCCCAGGCGGCACTGCGAGCCCCAGCTCAGCTGCTCCCTCACGGATGCCGTCCCGCACCTCCTGCGCGGTTGGCAAGACGCGGAAGTCGTACACGCGGAATCCCGCTGGCCGATCACCTTGGCCTCGGAGCAGCATCGCACCAACGATATCGGCATCAGGAGTGGCACTCTCTACGTACCGATCACCGTCGGGCGTCAACACGAAATGCCCGCCAGCGCCATCTGAGAGCAGTCCGATTCGCTCATGCCAGATCTGAGCCCCGCCAACATGATACCGAACTAGAGAGACCGAGAGAAGATGTGGCATTCTCACTTACCGTCGGTGATCGCCCTGGCCTGTTCATGCGCGGCCTCTTCGAAACTCGGCACGACAGTGACGCCCTACCTGACGACTACGCTGGGGTGGGCCAGCGCGTAGCCCAAGACGGCGCCGACCGCTGCGCCAGCGAGTAGGCTGGCCGCCGAGTACGCTCCCACCAGCCAGAACCAAAACGGTTCGGGAACCTTGCCGCCAACACCCGCGCAAACGCAGGCGGGGATCGCAGGGCAGGTCAGCTGCGGCGCGCAAGCCCCGCAGCTCGGCGCGGCCGCGCGCGCCACCACGGAGGCTCTAAGGGCCTCAGCTCCGTATTGCAGAGTGTCGGCAAGATAGAGGCCGAGATCCTGCATGCAGCCGCACAAATTAAGTTTGAACCGCAGTGGTTGCGGCACACACACTCCAAATATCAACACACTCAGCATGCAGTCATATGATGATGATGATGATGATGATGATGATGATGATGATGATGATGATGATGATGATGATGATGATGATGATGATGATGATGATGATGATGATGATGATGGTGATGATGCTGATGATGATGATGATGATGATGATGATGATGATGATGATGACGATGGTGATGATGGTGATGATGATGATGATGATGATGAGGAGGAGGAGGAGGAGGAGGAGGAGGAGGAGGGAGGCCGAGGGGAGGAGAGGAGGAAAGGAGAAGGAGGCGGAGGGAGAGGAGAGGAGGAGGATAGGAGGAGGAGGAGGAGGCGGAGGAGGAGAGAGGAGGAGGAGGGAGGAGGAGGAGGAGGAGGAGGAGGAGGAGGAGGAGGAGGAGAGGGAGGAGGAGGAGGAGGAGGAGGAGGAGGAGGAGGAGGAGGAGGAGGAGGAGGAGGAGGAAGAGAAGAAGGACCTTTTTCCCATGCGCGTGCGCGCGTGGGCTATCCGGGGCGTGGGCGAGCACCATTCTGACGCCCCCGCCGAGCTGCAGTTGTTGGCAAAGCCCCGGAGGGGGGGCCCCACCTCCGAGGGCGCCCGAGAAGCCGGCGAATGCCTCCTCCGACATGCCTCCCCCGAACCCGTCCTCTTCCATCCTCGCCGCGACGACCAAGAGGTCCAGGCAGGCGCCAGCCATCAAGAGGGCGGCCCACTCGCGCGCAGGTGCCCAGCTGTGGCTGCGAGGGCGCCGCAAGAGCCTCAACGAGAACTGAATGATGTAAGCATCCTCCCTCCCCCCTCGTCGCCACGACGACCAAGAGCCCGGGCAAGTGTGGCCGACCCCCCCCCCCGGGCTGGCCCACTCGCGCGCAGGCGTCCAAGACCAAATTGTGGCTCTGCAAGTCGGGATCCAAGCCGTGCCTCCCCCGCGGCCCCACCCAGAGCGGGACGACGGGTGCGGGCGCCAGCAGGGCGGCGCGGAGGGCGGAATGGGGCCGTCGTCGTCGGCGAAGCCGCCGTCGCCTCGCCGCGGAAATCGCCGCCACCGGTCGCCGTCGCCGCGGCAGTCGCCGCCGCCGTAGTCGCCGTCGCCATGGTCGTGGCCGCGCTCGTGGTCGTGGCCGTGGGCTTTGTCGTGGATGAGGTCTTTGTCGTCGACAACGTCGCCGTCGCTGACATCGCCGCCGTCGTGGTCGTGGTCGCGGTCCTCGCGCCATCGACATCGTTGTTGTCGTCGTCGCCGCCTAGCCCCTCCCTGGAAAAGCCTCTCGCGCATGCGCGCCAGCCAGGCCTCCGCCGCGCCCGGCTGCCGGGCCTCCGCGCACGCGCGGAGCACGGCGTTGAGCAGAGCGACGGTGGGCTGCACGCCCTCCGCTATGGCCCTCGCGCGAAGAGGCGACGGTATCAACGGCGCCGGCAGGATTGGAGCAGCAGAGACGGCTGCGGCGGCGGCCTCGGCGAAAGCAGCAGCGCCAGCAGAAGGGGAGCTCGTGGGTGGCCCTCGGCGTCGTCTTCGTCGTCTTCCTCCTTCTCCTCCTCCTCCTCCTCCTCCTCCTCCTCTTCCTCGCCAGAGGACCGCGGAGGGGGACCACCCGACCCGAGCGGCCCATCCGCAACGTCAATGCGCCGAGCAGCATGCCATCCCACGCATGTGCGGAAAAAGAAACTCTCGATGTCCGTGTCGCTCGGATGGGGCTGCACGCGTGGAGCGCGAGGGCCTTCTGCCCTCGAAGGCTCCAGGCGTGTCCGAACTCGGTCTGCCTGAAAAGACAGGGGCGAGCAAGCGAGCGAGCCACCAGTGTGGAGCACCCTCTGGGTCTATGAAAAGCAGGTGGGCGAGGCTGAGGCCACTCTCACTCACTTATTCACTCATTCACTCACTCTCTCCCTCTGTCTCTACATATATATATATATATATAGATATAGATATGTGTATATATATACGTGTGTATGTGTATACATATTCCCCAAACAGTACTTGCGCTGATGGGGTTCCTAACGGTTTTCTGAAGAACTGGGCCTGTGCGACGGCGTGGCGGCTATTCAATCGCCGTGGACACCCCGTCGCCGGCCATCTTCTGGGCCTGTGCGTCGCCCCTGTGAGCTTGAGCTCTAGCAATTGCTCCTCATTCGCTTCCAATCTCTCAGCCAAATCTCGAAGGAAAGCTGCCTTGCCGCGGCCGTTCCGCACGGCCGTCATCAGGGCAAAGGCATTCATCCGCGGAGGAGGGTGAGAGGGTACCTGCCGAGGAACTTTGGCATACTGCACTTCCAAATGCAGAGGAACGTGGTCCCGAGGAGGGAGACCCCGAACAGCCTGGATCTGTGCACCTAGTGTACGCAGCGTGTGACAGTGTACTACTCGCTCATGATTACCTTGGGGTGTGTACATGTAGTCTATTGTGGACGCTGTCGATGGGTTCGTGCACGAAATGTATGTGTGTTCGCGTGTCCGAAACGCAGATGATGCACACATGTAATTTTGGTCAAGTAGCCTCCGCGCCGCCTCCCCTGCTCCTCGACGTCGTTGTTCTCTGCTCCTCGTCTCCCCCACACTGGCGACGACTGCACCTCCTCCCACCTTCCCGCAATCTTGGACAACCCCAGCCCATCGTTGAGGTCCGAACAGAAGATGGGAGCGTGCGGGGCGGGATGATGCTAAAGATGTCGCCCCACCATTTCGTCAGAACCTGCACGGTTGCAAAGTAGTTTCCCGCCTGCCCTTTTTTGATGGCTGGGGGAGAAGTAAAGAGCTCCGAGAACGAGCTCCTGAGTCCCTCTTTTCACTCGCACAGCAACCCCTCGGCCAGCAAATTTAGCAGGGGCAGCCCACGTTTGTACTATATCCTTCTCGCAATAGGCTCGACCTAGGCATACTGCACATCCCGTACTCGAGTTGGTGAGGGGGGCCTTCTGGTAGACCGATTCAATGATCAAGGCCCGTCGCGAACATCGGGTTGAAAGCTGAAACTCTGAGAGCAGAACGAGTCGGCGCCATGGTCTGCTCTGAAGGGGCGCGCCTCGACCCCCCAACACCTTGTCTAGGTGTGCGGAACCCCAGTCCTGTGCTGCCGAAAAAAAAGGAGCCAGCTGGGGCTAGGAGGAGGTAGAGGAGGAGGAGGAGGACGAGGAGGAGGAGGAGGAGGAGGAAGAGGAGGAGGAGGAGGCGGAGGAGGAGGAGGAGGAGGAAGAGGAGGCGGAGGAGGAGGAGAGGAGGAGGAGGAGGAGGAAGAGGAGGAGTAAGAGTAAGAGCGAAGCGGAAGAGTGACGGTCGAGCCGCCACGCCCCACCCCCGCGCCCGAGGCCCGAGAAGGCCAGCGGCCTCAGGCGGGGGGCTCGTCCCAGGCCCCGAGGAGGAGGCATTCCGGTGTGGCCGCTGGAATGCGGCAGGGCTTCCGAGGAGGCGCGGCGCCTCGTCGGAAGGATGCCTCTCTCTCTCTCTCTCTCTCTTTCTGCGCCCTGGCCATGGCGGGCCCAGCGTGGCTCGTCCTCCTCCTCCTCCTCCTCCTCTCCTCCTCCTCCTCCCTCCTCCTCCTCCCTCCTCTCTCCTCTCCTCCTCCTCCTCCTCCTCCTCTCCTCCCTCCTCCTCCTCCTCTCCTCCTCCTCCTCCTCCTCCTCCTCCTCCTCCTCCTCCTCCACCTCCTCCTGCTCCTCCTCTTCTTTCCTCCTCCTCCTCTTCCTCCTCCTCCTGCTCTTCTTCATCCTCCTCCTCCCTCTCCTCCCCCTGCTCTTCCTCCTCTTTCCAGGCAAAGAAGACGACAGCGACGACGACCGCGACGTCGAGGACGACGACGACGCCGCTGACGCAGACATCGGGGTCGGCCTGGCCACGAGCGCCTCCGCCCGCGGCAGGTCCCTCGCCCGCGCACAGGCGCCGACCAGGGCCACGTACTGGTTGGCGGTGGCCCAGACGCCCTCGCGCCGCATCTCCTGGCCCCAGGTGGCGACGATGCCGCCGCGGCCGCCGCCGTCGTCGTGGTCGCCAACGCCATCCATCGTCGACGTTGTCGTCGTCGTCGTCGGTCGTCGTCGTCGTCGTCGTCGTCGTCGTCGTCGTCGTCGTCGGTCGTCGTCGTCGTCGTCGTCGTCGTCGTCGTCGTCGTCGTCGTCGTCGTCGCCTTCGGCGTCGCCCATCGTCGTCGCCAGAGTCGTCGAGGGAGGAAGGCGGAGGAGGAGCGGGGAGGCGGAGGAGGGGCGGCGCACTAGGCGGAGGCGGATGGGGCAAAGGCCAAGGCCGGTTGGTGGGGGGAGTGTGGGGGTTTGGGGAGGAGGGTTGCATACCAAATGAACGGGCATCCTCCTGCCAAACTCCACCAACTCTAACTCCTCCTCGTCGTCGACGTCGTCGTCGGCGTCGTAGTCGTCGTCGTCGTCGTCGTCGTCGTCGTCGTCCTCGTCCTCGTCGTCGTCGTCGTCGTCGTCGTCGCCGTTATCGTCGCCGTCGCCTTCGGCGTCGTCGTCGGGGCCGTCGCGGCGGAGCCGCCGCCTCCAGGCAGGCGTCCACGCGCTCCCAGGCACCAGCGCCGGCATAGCAGGCCAGCAGCTCCTGGGCAGACGCACCGCCGTCGTGGCCGTCGCCGTCGGTGACGCCGTCGCCGCTGCCGCTGTCCATGTCGCCATCATCGGCATCATCGGCATCGGCGGCCACGGCATCGTCGCCGCCGTCGTCACGTAGTCGTCGGCAACGGCACCGGCGTCGGTGTCGCCCTCGCCCTCGCGGACGTCGGCGTCGGCGTCGCCGGCGGCGTCGGCGTCCGCGTCGCCGCCGTCGGCGTCGTCGTCGTGGCGGTGGTGGTTGTGGTCGTGGGGGTGGTGGCCGTCGTCGTCGTCGGCATCGGCGTCGGCGTCCGCGTCGGCGTCGGCGCGGGCGTCGGCGGCGTCGGCGTCGGCGTCGGCGGCGGCCGCGACGTCCGCGTCCACATCCGCGTGGTCGTCGGCGTCGGCGTCGGCGTCGGCGGGGTCGTTGTCGTTGGTGTTGGCGTCGTCTGGGAGGCCGCTGGGCGGCCCTGGGCGATGTTCAAAGGCTTTCTGAAATTTTCGGAGGTTCTTGGCGGGTTTCGGATGCTTTCGGATGCTGTCGGAGACTTATCGAGGTATCCAAAGGTTCTCTTAGGTTTTCGGGTGCAGTCAAACATTCCTGAAAGTCACTATGCGGCAACTGTGCCCGTTCGGCCGCCGAACGGGCCAGGGATCGAACACATTCGGTGACCGAGCGGACTAAATTCCCACCGCCTGCCTGGAACGCGGAATGGATTGAGAAGGGAGCCGACCCTGGGAGGAAAGGCTAAATATTGATTATTATGATTTCTGGTAATGGTCGTTAGCGGAGGCGGGGGGCCCGGCTAAAGGTAACGCTTGGGCGGGGTGGGGCACGTCGGGCTGGAGGTTCGCTGCGATCGCCGTCATAAGCGCGCGATCACCGACATGTGGAAGGAAGGCCCACCCCTAACGAACGATCGTTACCTTAACCCCAGGGGGCGGGCGGGTTGCCATGGTAGCGGCCGTCACGCGCCAGAGGATAAAACATAATCGGCCCACGAACCTGGAGGAAAAGGATACACGAATGTGATGCATGAGAATGATGTCACAAGTGGGCGACCGGCAGCTGAAGTGCTCAAGATACCGACGGTGATCTGCTGAGTCAAGGGCTGTGCTGCACTGTGCCGAGATGAATTGAAATGGGCGCCATGCGGCGTGGAACTATGCTGTGCTCTTTGCGTCGTGGATCGGGTCGTTCTTGGCATTCGAACCCTGACCGAACTGATGCGGATTTCAAGCTCGAGCTGCAAGAACGCATAGCTCGAGCTGGTTGCAGTCAATACGCACGGGGCGCTCGACCAGCTCGAGCTCTAGATCCGATTCAGTTCCGAAACGGGACGAACCCAGAGGGGGCGAACCCGAACCAGTGCGACACACACAGAGAATGGACGGACCGAAACGCGGCGAACCGAGGCACGACGAAATTCCGAAATGCATCAAGACGCACCGAAACGATACGAGCCGAGACGAAGGCCGAACCGACCCTACGTACTCGAAGCGAGACAAAACAAACCGAGACTGGGACAAACCGAAAATTCCTCGGCCCACAATCCTGAAACAACATGGCGTCTCCTGACCAAACCCCTCGCCAATAACCAAAACCACGATCCTGGCGCCAATTGCTATTGATCCGTGATGTGATGCACTGTGCTGCGTCACGCCGCCATGCTGCGTGGAGCTATGCTGATCTCTTTTGCGTCGTGGACCGGCTCTGTGGTGCCGCGCCATGCTGCGATGTGATTCCCCATAATGGTGATTTGAGCATCGTGCCTTGACCGTGCCATGCTGCGGCGATGCCGCCAGGGGACGCGCCGCAGGTCGCGCCAAGGGCCGCGCCGCGGTACGTGCACGAAGACTGTTGGGCGCGCCAGGGGATTCGCCGCGGGACGCGCCGGGCGCGCCAGGGGACTTGCCGCGGGACGCGCCAGAGGGCGCGCCACGCGACGTGCGAAGGAGGGAGGAGAGAGGAGGGAGGAGGGAGGGGGGAGGGGGGAGGGGGAAGGGGGAGGAGGAGGAGGAGGAGGAGGAGGAGGAGGAGGAGGAGGAGGAGGAGGAGGAGGAGGAGGAGGAGGACGAGGACGAGGGAGGAGGAGGAGAGGAGGAGGAGGAGGGGGAGGAGGAGGGGGAGGAGGATGGAGGCGCGTCTGGGGGGCAACGTCTTCAACCACTCTACTGCCGACGACGCCGCCGACGACCCGATTGGCCGAGGGGCAGTTCGACGGCTTGGAGGGCGGCTCGCGCCAGGCTTTGGGCGGCCTCCTGAGAGGACGGGAGCGCATGGGCTTTACTCTCTTGATGGGCCAACCGCTAAAGATGAAAATAAAAAGCGGTAAATTTGAACGTCTCGGGGGCGGGGTGGATCAATCCCAGAGCCAGGAGGGGGTCCAAAAACGGGGATCAATCCCAGAGCCAGGGGAGGAGGGGGAGGAGGAGGAGGAGGAGGAGGAGGAGGAGGAGGAGGGGGAGGAGGGAGATGACGACGACGACGACGACGACGACGACGACGACGACGACGACGACGACGACGACGACGAAGCGACGACGACGACGACGACGCCGACGAGGGAAGCCAGGGGGCGTGCCAAGGGACGCGCTTCAGCGACCGCGTCGGGTGACGACCTATAGGGGGAGGGGGAGGGGCCTAGGGCACGCGCCAGGAATCGCGCACGGTGACGCGCCAGGGGGCGCGCCAGGGGGACGCGCCGCGGGAGGGGCCCAGGGGCGCGCCAAGGGACGTGCCAAGGAACGCTCCGCGCGACGGGCCAGGGGAACGCGCCACGGGACGTGCCAGTGAACGTGCCAGGGAGCGTGCCAAGCGACGCGCCGCGCGACGTGCCGGGGGGACGCGCCACGGGACGCGCCACGGAACGTGCCAGGGAACGTGCCCGGCGACGCGCCATGGGACGTGCCAGGGGATGCGCACGACAGGGGACGGACCAGGCGATGTGAAATGGGACAAGCCAAAGGACGATCCAACCTCTGTGCAAGTCTTCTCCGCCGAGTCCGCGCTCTCACCGCCACAACCAATACTAAATATACGCTGAGTTTGCGCTCCCAGGGCTACAATCCCTTGCAAATCAAGCTGCGTTGGAAGTCCAAGGACCACGATCCTTCGACAATTACTACGTGCGCGGCGTCTGCGCTGCCAGGGCCAAAGCCACTTGTAAATGAAGTACGATGCGTCGGCGCTCCCAGGGCAACAGTCCCTCGTGATTTACACTGCGTCCGCAGTCTCAGGACGAGGATATCTTGTAAAATACGCTGCGGCCATGCCACCACGGCCAGAATCCTCGTAAACTGCGCTGCGTCCGCGCTGCAAGGGCCAAGATCCCTTGTAGATTACGTTGCGTCCGTGCTCCAGTTGTCGTTGGTCTTGCTCCAGAGATCCCACAAAACGCCTCAGAGAGCCCCGAAATGGCCGGAAGAAAGTCCCAGAAACGCCCGGGAAGCAAACGGAAACGAGGAGCGGGAGGGGAACGGGGTCGAGGAGGACGGAGCCCCCGATGCCCAGATCATCGAGGACTGGCGGCACTGACCAAAGGCATCCGTGGTATATTCGCACAGCGGGGGGCGGACAAACCGCGCCCCCCGTCCTCCTAATCATCATCATCATCATCCTCCCCCTCCTCTCCTTCCGCCAACCGTTCCAAGTATTCCTCCTCCTCCCACTCCTTATCCTGTACTTCCGCATCGTCCCCCGATTCCTCCTTCCACTATCATGTTCCCCTTCTTTTCTTCCAAACGACGCCACCGACGCAGCGTATCAGTCCTGACACGCGCGGGCGCCAGCGCTGCGTATCAGTCCTGACACGGCGCGAATTTCAGTCCTGACACGGGCCCGTTTCAGTCCTGACGCGGAACAATTTCAGTCCTGACACGGAAGTCGTTTCAGTGTTGACATCGTCCCAGGATGCTGCAAAACACAGCATAAGCAACCATCTGCACCCTGACACGCGACCGATTTCAGCCCTGACACGGGATCCGTCAGTCATGACACGGGAGCAATTTCAGTCCTGGCACGCCAGCGCTTCAGGCCTGACACGCGGTGGGCCGACGAGCGTTTCTCACTCCCGGCACAGCCCATCGCCAATCTCTCCCGCCACTGCGACCGACTTCCGCGACTCGCCTCCGCGACCCGCCGCGACCGCCTTCCCGCGACCCGTGCCCGCCACCTTCGCCCGTGACCCGCGCGCGCGACGCGTTTCCGTGAACCTGCACTAATTATACTTGTTGGGTTTGCCCCAAGCAGTCCTGGGGGGGGGGGGGGCACGGGGCTCCGTACCCCATGGGCACCACGGCGCTTCGCGCTTGCACGCCCAGGGAAACCGCGCGACTCCTGTATGGCGCGATCATGGCGCCCTCCTGGCCCGCCACGCCCTTGCGGATGCTGGCGATTACATTCACTCCATCAAATCCTGTGTCTCAGGCGACTCTTGTCTCTGCAGGCCGGGCCGGATGCGAGCGCAGAGGGCGCGCAAAGGGGGGGGGGGCGAGGGGGGTGACCTCGTAAGAAGGCAATGGGGCCTCTTAGAAACCCTGCGGTCTTCTGATTAGGTCGGGCATGCCCCCCCCTGCATCCGGTGGTCATCACCCCCCTCTTGGCCGCCCCCGATGTCTGTGAACCCCGCCCGGGCTCCACGTAGAAGGCCGGGTCTGGCGTGCCGCCAGCGGCCCGCAGGTCTGCCAACAGCCGCTCCTCCCGCGCCCCGTGCGGCGGCCACTTTTTTTTTTTTTTTTTTTTTTTTTTTTCTCTCTCTCTCTCTCTCTCTCTTCGGCGACTTGGATCCGTCACGTGATGCGAATCCGAGGAGGAGTAGGAAGACACAAAAAAAGGAGAACGATGAGGGGGATTCGGTTGGGAGGGGGGGCCTTCGCATCACCGTGACGCAATCCTCTCTCTCTCTCTCTCTCTTCCTCTCTCCGAGCGCGCCCCCTGCCCTTGGACGAAGCTAGAACCTATTTTACGATTACAATTAGGTCGGGCGTGTCCTCCTACAGGCGGATTTTGGGCGAAAAATGCAAATAGTCAAAAAATGTCCCAAGATAGTTAAAACAAATTGTTGTAACAAATCGTCCCCTGACTATTTCTTACTATTTTGGAATATTCCCCCCCGAAGAGGGACATGCCCGACTTAAGGTTACAATCAAAACTGATAGTGAAGATGCTCGGTAAGCATGCGAGCCCCTTGGACGCCCGTGTAAAAGTTTTTCGAGCGCGGCGATCTATTGGGAGCAAGCAAGGACGGACCAACGAGACGAAGATGCGAGGAAACCCTCGGGAAAGCTACGGCAGGTTCGTGTCGTGCCGACCCCAGCGTTGGTTTTTGACACCGCAGGGATCGTTCAACCTTGAACGATCGGCCGCTGCCGCAACGTCCAATCGTTCAACATCGATCGATTCCGGGTCGCCGGCGGCGTTCAACCTTGAACGCCCGCGCTGGGGTCGCCGCTGGTCGACACGACGCAAACCTACCGTACTCATCCTCATCATCGCTTCCCGCTGTATTCGCGATGACGCCCGTGACCGGCCCCCCCCCCTGGAGGCTCGGACATGGGCACCGACACCGAAACAGGGGGGGCCTCCACGGGGAGAAGATGATCCTGGATGTTGGCGTTGGTGGCAATATTCGGTGTCAGTGCCAACCTTTAGGTTTCCCCCTCCTCCTCGCCCTAATCACGTCACGATTCGCGCTGGCGCCGCGAAGGAACTGGCCCTTCCTGGGCAGTTCCAAATCGGCGCCGGCGCGGACCGCGACGTGAACGGCCCCTCCCCCCCTCCCCCTCCCCCCACACCTTCCCTCCCGGGTAGGCCCGTGATCGCTAGGGAAAGCGCCACCTTGCCTGGTGCACGATCAGGTGAACGTTTTTCTATTCGGCATTTCGACATTGAGCGAAAAGGGGGGGGTCTGGCTCTGGACCTCTGCTTTAGTGCGACTGTTTGCAAGAGTGCTGCCTCGTGGGGAGGGACCCCTCCTGCTCAAAACAGTTGCCAAAAAACAGCCAAGATCTACTCCACGGTGAGGGGGAGGGGGGGTGCGAGGGCCCGCGCCGATCGGCACAAAAAGGAATTAGAAAACAATCACAAAGACAAGGTCTGTCTGGTCGGGCTTCTGCAATTGTCTGAGGGCCGCGTGCATCGCCCCCTCGTCCCGAGGCCACACTTTGCACATACAAGAGATTCGCGCTCCCGAGGCTTAGATGCCTCCAGGACGGCCCAAGATCGCTCCAAGACGAGCCTCGCCGTCAAGACGTCCCAAGATGCCTTCGAGACGGCCCACGAGGCCGTCGAGGCGTCCTAAGGGAGCCCCAAGAGCCTTCCCCAGAGGACCTCGAGAAGCCCATAGCAGTGATTTTCCATTGTTTTTTTTCTCGTTGGTAAAAACATGTTTTTCGGATTCTCGCTTTCTCGAGGTTCCGACGTCCCAAGACGATCCAAGACGCCACCAAGACGGCCCAAGAGGGCTCAAGATGGCCCAAGAGGCGCCCAAGAATGCCTGAGAGGGCTCACGATCCCAAGAAGGGCCCCGGACAAGAGAGCCCCGAATGCAAAAACCACTGATTCGCGACAAGTTCTTCAACGTGTGTTGGGCTCTCGTTGTCGAGCTTCCGACGCTCCAAGACGGCCAAGGAGGCCACCAGGACTCCCCGTAGGTCGGGGATGTTCTCCTACAGGCCGATTTTGGAAGAAAAATTAAAAATTCTAAATATATGCAAACATATCAGTAATAATAATGAAAATGTCCCCAGGCTAGTTTTTTGACTATTTCAGAATATTCCTCCTGTAGAGGGACCCGCCCGACTTAAGACTCCCCCGACGCGGCTCAAGAGGCCCCCAAGAGAGCTCCAAGGCGGTTAAAAAGGCCCAAGACGCGTCGCGCCAGACGGGCTCGAGAGCGGGAGCACGAACCCAGAATTCGAGCCTTCTGCCCCAAGAGCCCAAAGCAGGCCCCCTGGCCTTCTCGAGTACAATAGGAGCTCGACCACAACAAGCCTTCAACAAGAAATCCAACCCTGAGACCCAAGGACTTCCATTGATTTTTGGTGTGGCAGCGTCACGTACTCCATAGCAAAACCGTCGAAATCCAAGAAACCCAGGGCACCCTGGATGCAAGCAGGGTGTTTCTTGGCATGGGCTTCCACTGTAGCTGCCACCCAGCATGCGGCGCTGGCACGGTGGCGGAAGTGCTGGGGGCAGCTGGATGAAAAACGCTCTCCCAAGACAAGACTAATCGGACAGGGATACAGTCGGCCTGTATCATAAGGATGCGCGATGGTGAGGATGCAAGGGCCTTGAAGGCCATTTCGAAGCTTTCCGAGCGGGTTCGGCCGACGAAAGTGGCCAAGGCTGGGCCGAGGAGGCAAGGATGTAAGGGCCCCCTTGGGAAGGTTGCCCATCCTTGATATGAGGGTTGACTGTAATCGAACTGGGATAACTCGGGAGTGTCTGAAATCCAGCGGTTCTGGCCGATGTTCGGGCGCCGCGGTCGTGCCCGAGAGCTCCAGAGCGATCTGAGAGCGGTCCGGAGCGCTCTTGGAACGATCTATCTCCTTGTCCTGGCTCTGTCTCGTGAAAGGCAGCGATGGGGGGGGCCAGCTCAGGGAGGGGAAGCATCGACTTGGAGTTGGCGACGCATCTCCGACAAATCGGCGATGCGTTCCAGAGCGCTCTGGAATGATTCGACCTTGTTCTGGCCCCGCCTCGCGCGAGGCAGCGATGGGGGAGGGGCGAGCTCCGGGAGGGGAAGCAACGACCTGGAGTCGGCGATGCATCTCCAACAGATCGGTGACGTGGCCCCGATAGCGAAAAAACACGGGCCATCGGGCCCCATCACCCTTAGGGGGGGGAAATTCCTGGCGGACTACCGTCGGTTCTCGGCGGTTGTTCGGGGAACGAAGGATGGCATAAACATAAAAATTCAGAGATCCGCGCGGATTTCTCGGTCGGATCCGCGATGGGACCCCCTCGGCGCCGCCTCAGGCGCCGCCCCTGGCGCGCTCCGCGCACCAGGCGGACCTCCGAGTGTTTTGATGTTTGTGTCGCTCTTCGTTCCCCTCGCTTTCCAGCCTCTGGGTGCGCTCCAGCGGCTGCGCCTCGCCGAGGGCGTGCCGGGGGTGCCCGGATCGTCCCAAACGGCCGCGGGAGAGCCGAGCTGTGACCTAAGAGCCACCAGACGTCCGCGAGGGTGCCGGCCATCTCAGCAGGCTCGGAAGGGCCCCGGCCTTCTGAGAAGATTTCTAAGCCTTCACCGAAGGCACAGAAAACTTCTCAGAAGGCCGGAGGGCTTCTGAGAAGCCCCGCCGCCTTCTGAAAGGGCCTTCTCCTTCTCTCCCCCCAGCGCGCTCCAAACTCGGTGGCGAGCGAGCGAGTCTCGTGTTCGCCGGAACTCGGGTTTGCCGACACTTGTTGCCGGGCCCGTCCACGGTTTTGACGGTCCAGTTGTGGGGTGTCTGCAGCGGAAGCTCGCGTCTTACGAATCTTGCGTCGGCGGCGAGCGAGGGGGGAAGTGAGGAGGAGGCATTCTCAGAACGCGACGGGGTTTCTCAGAAGCCCCCTGGCCTTCTGAGACGTGTTCTGTCTTCGGGGAAGGCTGAGAAAACCCCTCCGAAGGCCAGAGGACTTCAGAGCCTTCTGAGAAGGCCCACCCCCTCTCGCTTCCCACTGGGGCTCGCCGCCGAAAAATATGGTATCGCCTAAGCTCAGGGAGCGACGGCTTCTCTCGGGCCAGTCGATCCTTCGCCTCCTGCTCTAAGTAAGCGCGAAACAGGTGGACGAGCACAGACTTTCCAGTGCCTGGAGGCGGTCCCGACCCTCCCCCGGATGGGGAGGGATGGGACCGCCTGCGTAACCTCGAGCATTCGATTTTGCGAGCCGCTGGCCTCTGACTGCCTGAGCCCAACGTTTCATCGTGAGCGTTCTTTTATTCGGCGTTTCGACATTGGGCGGAAGGGGGGAGGAGGGGGGGGGGGTCTGGCTCCAGACCTTTGCTTAGTGCGACTGTTTGGGACCTTGCGTCCTGTGGGGGGGACTCCACCTGCTCGAAACATGCGCCAAAAACAGCCAAGGTCTACTCCACGGGGGGGGAGGGGGGGGTGCGAGGGGCGGCACCGATCGGCGAAACAAGCAATACAAAAAAGCCCACCTGCCTGGGACCAACGTTTCATCTTGAATTGGTGTTTGATTGTCCTGGGCGTCGGAACCGGGCTTTGGACACCGGACACCGGCTTCTCTGAGCAGCTCAGTGCACTTCTCATGAATAGCCAGAGGTCAGGGTACCCTCGTCTTTCCCTCCCCCTCGACATCTCCTGAGGGTCCTATGGGAATCAACCTCGCTGCGCATCTCCGCTGCTCTGGCTGCCCTCTCAGCCCTCCGACACCTTGTAGCTTCTCCTCCAAAATGTCAAACGCCGTGGAATTTATTTTCAGCGGCCGCGGGGGCCCGAAGCAGACCTCTGGAGGCACGAGCCAACGAAGGCATGCTGTTCCGACATTCCAGGGCGCAATACGTGTGAAGACTTCGGTCGCAAGTCGGGCCCAAGCGTGCAGTTCGGGCAAGACCATTCAGATGCCCCTGGAATATCTCAACGAGGCGCAGCCTCCCGCAGGCATCACAAGCCCCGAAAACACCCAAGAACCCGCAGGGGTGAATCGTTCACCGATCCGATGTTTTCCACACGCAATGGCGTCGCATTGCAAAAAATTGTCACTGAACCGTGCACATCCGGCCCTCTCTCTCTACCCAGCCCTCCTGCGCTGGTGAGCCGCGCTCGGAATCCGTGAGCCACCGTGGATCGTCTGAGGAGGAGGAGGCGGAGGAGGCGGAGGAGGAGAAGGGGAGGGGGAGGAGGAGGAGGAGGCGGAGGAGGAGGAGGGGGAGGCGGAGCGGCGGAGGAGAAGGGAGGAGGAGGAGAGGAGGGGCGGAGGAGGAGGCGGAGGAGGAGGGGAGGAGGAGAGAAGGAGGAGGAGGCGGAGGAGGAGGATGGGGAGGAGGAGGAGGAGGAGGAATGAGGAGGAGGAGGCGGCGGAGGAGAAGGAGGAGGAGGAGGAGGAGGACAAGAAGAAGGAGGAGGACATCAGAGGAGGAGGAGGAGGAGGAGGAAGGAGGAGGAGGAGGAGGAGGAGGAGGAGTGAGGAGGAGGAGGACAAGGAGGAGGGAGGAGCAGGAGGAGGAGGAGGAGGGACGCCGCCGAAGATGGGAGGATCGTCGATCGCCTGCCCCTCCCTGGCCCCTCCGCGCGCTCGAGGCCGCCGTCGCCGCCGCCCTTCGACCGCGACGCGGAGAGGAGCGGGCTGTAGCTCCTCGCGGACCGAGCGGCAGAGTTGGGGAAACCCCAGACTCGGGTACGGGGGACTCGGGTTGGTCCGACGGGGTCATCGTTAAAAATGACGAGACCCAATCTGAAACATCCCACGACAACTGGACCGTCAAAATCCAGGACGCGCTCGTCAACAAAAAGTCGGCAAACCCGAGTTCCGGCTTACTCGAGTCTTCCTTTTCCCCGAAAGAGAAGCCGCTGGCAGGAGGCGAGGGCTCTGGGCGGCCCACGTGCAGAACGAACTCGTGGCCTCGAAGTCTGGGGCTCCTTCGCCCTCGTCGTCCTCGTCGACGAGCCCTCGCCCCGCTCCTCCTCGTCCTCCTCGTCCTCCTCGGCCTCCTCCTCCTCCTTCACCGCGTGGATTTCTGAAGCTCGGGGGACGGGCCCGCGTCGCCACGGCTGGATCAGCCTCGAGATCTGGGCTCCAGTGCCCTCTAGGCCATGTCCAGGAATTGATCTCAAGATGCCGGCTCCAGGCCTCCAAACCTCGCAGAACAACCAGACGGGCGTTTTCGCACAGCTTGGACATACGAAGCCAGTTTTGGCCCTAGCGCCATCCAAATACGACTGATGGCAAAACACAAAAACTGACTGGAATGGGGCCGAGGCCTCTGGCGGCCCGTGTCGGAGAACAAGTCGTCGGATGTCTGAGAACCAAGCTGTCGTCCAACTCCCACCAGCTCTTTAGAGCGTGAGTGGTTCAGGGCGCTTCCTCGTCCAACCCCTTTCCCCTTCGCAGAAGGGTTCATCACTGCTCACTAACAGACACCCCCTCCCCCACCCGATCGGCGAAAAAACCAGGGCCGATGCGGGCCCCTACCCGGCCCGCCATCCCTGTCATAGAACAATGCAGCGTGCACTTGCCACCAAAATATTGGGTCATGTTCTTTACAGGGACGGCGGGTGTGCCAGCAGATGGCCTGCTGCGAACAGAGCAACCATCACTGTTGAGACAAACTGCACTTCGCGGCTACATCTGGATCATGCGCAGGTGGCCCGCGATCACTTCGCAGTGGTTTTTTACAAGGACCACGGGATTGCTGGCAGATTGCTTGCTGTGTGCAGGCCCATCAGACATCATGATGGCCACTCCGCCGCGATTGCTCATTGACTTTCGAAAAGGAATTGTGGGGGCCGACATGTTTCCCGATGTGCGCGGGCGCACCTGGCAGACTCTGCGCGTGCCCCAAACGTGACACACCTGGCGCGGCCGGAGCATGCGGCACACTTGGCGCACGTGAGGCACGTGGCGCATCTGGCGCACCAAGCGTACCTGGCACGCTTGGGCCCCAGCAGCGCCTGGTGCACGTGAAATGTGTCGCCCCAGCGTCGCGCACCCGCGGTCCGGATTGGTTCCCAGTAGCTGCCCATCCAAAGACAACCGCAAAATATACTATGGTTCGGGCGCTATCTACGTATTGGGAGGGCGGGCGGGAGTGAGCCAAGCAGTTTGCGGTTGGGAAAGGTGTCTTGACCACTTCCTCTACCCCACCCCTGGGCAATTATGGGCGAGGCGCCCCATGGGTAGCTAGAGCGTCCAAGTAGGACTCAACGAGAAGGCGGTCATCATTGATGTTCCGTGTGTTTGGGCCCACTATTGACCTTCTAGGAGGGCGAAGCTAATTGAGGATCTCTCTGCTTTGATCGAGAGCCTTCCAGGTGGCCCCACGACGACCTCTAAAACAGTCTCAAGGAGCCCCCAAGAGGCCTCAGGAGGCCCCCACTAAACCCCCGAAGAGGCCCCAAGAGGCCTCCAAGACGCTTTCAAATGCCCTAGCCCTCAAGAGACAAACGTGATACGCCACCACGAGCCTCCAAAAGACATCCCAAGCGAGTCCGAGAGGCATCCAAAAGGCCTCTGGGTCACTGAGGTCCCCAGAGGCATCCAACATATGCCACGCTTCCCCGATAAAGGGCAGCTCCCCCAAACATCGTTCCTGGATGGGCTGGTGGGGGTACGTTGATGGTCTGCGGGCTCGCGAAGCAAGTCGAAAACCGTCCGATAACTATCCGGGCCGCGACTAGGCAGCAAGAAAAAGACGGGCAAGCGAAGCGAGCGCGCGGGCAGCCTCTCATAAGTGCACCAGGAACGGCACTCCCAACCCGGTGGCGTGGAAATCCCGGTGGCGACCGTCAAGTGGGCGCAGCCAAAATGGCGCGGCGGCGCGACCATGAACACGCAGAGGTCGATCACCCGTTGTGAGTCGGCGTAAGGCCCGACGAAAACGAGCAGGTCCGACAGGCACTTCAGGGCGACATCCGTGCCGTAGGTGACACAACAGCATCGTGTCGGCGCCGGAATGAAGAGGGGGCAGCCTCGTCACAGACAGGACTGCAAACGGCGGATCCTCTGGTATGTACACCCGGTGGCACAAGTCGAAAGCGAAGTCCGTGAAGGAGAAAGCAGCCGACGGGCGCCCAGAGCCGCACATGCCGAAATCCTTGCACCGAAGAGGACGGTACCGTAGCAAGTCCCCACCGAACCCAAACGGTCACCAAGCTGGTGGGGATACTTTTTTGGTCGGCGGCCGCTCGACAATGGTCTGGCGGCAACAGGCAATGTCCGGGGCGGACGGCACAAAGCTAATTGCACAACAAGCGTGCAGTTGCACATGCACTGAACAAAAAGCTCTGCATTCATCAGAAGGAAAGCCGAAGGCTGCACAGGCGTAGCAGGCTGAACCACACGGCGCCCAGACCTCAGTAATCCGCCTCCCAGTGCCAGGTGGAGCCATGCGGCTGTGCCCAAGGCGCAACTGCCGTGCCGATCCGCTGGTGGGGATACGCGAAACGTGAAACATTACCGACGTCGCCTGCAAAATCGCTTTTATCAAACTCGTCACCGTAACCCCCGACGTGATGACGTCGACCGCGACTTGGCGTCTCGAGAAATACATGAACCTGGTAGATTGGACTGAACAGGTCGCGCCCATGTGTTGTTTCTGTTTATTGTTTTCCTCAGTGCAGACCGGCGGCAACGCCTGTTACCAATGTAATAGGCCAACACTAGTCCACAGCAGCTTGCGCCCCAGAAAAGCAGGTTCGCTCCCTAGAGGAGGGAAGACGGGAAGCACGCGAAATAAAGCAATGCAACCGCCGTCGGCCTGCGTCGTCTAGTCGAGGCTTTACTTTCCAGGAATACGCAGCGGCAGCACAGAAACTCCACGTTGAACGATTCAATGAGGCCACGACTGGATCCAGAGGTGCAAAGACGTAGTGCCCGTGCAAAGCAAGAAAGGAGGAGGAAGGATGATGGCGGCGGGGGAAAACGGCCATGCCCATGCACGCGGAAGTCCCCCACGAGCGCAGCTCAACTCGGAGCGAATGAACAAAGCTAGCAGGATACCAAATGTTGGAGAGGCTGCAGCGGCGGCAGCGGCAGGTACAGTAGGGGCCCGATCACAAGAGACCTTCCACAAGAAACCCAACCCTGAGACCCCAGGACGCCCACTGATTTTTGGTGTGGGAGCGTCGCGCTTTGCATAGAAAAACAATCGAAACCCAAGAAACCCAGCACCCTGGAGACAAGCAGGGTGTTTCTTGGCATAGGCCTCCACTGTAGGGAGAGAGAGAGAGAGAGAGAGAGAAAGAGAAAGGCAGAGGAGAGGGGGTTCGGAATGAACTGGTCGCCCCGATCAGCAGGCTGTCTGAAGCTTCGGCGGCCCCCCTCTCCGCATCGTCCTCGAACCCTTCAGTCGACTCAACTCCCCCTCGACCCCCCCCCCCCATCTTTCCCCCCCCCCCCCTCCGCCCCCACGGGCGCCCCGCCTCACGTTCCTGCTCCTCCGCCTCCTCCTCCTCCTGCCTCTCCCGTTTCCGCCTCCTCCCCCTCGCCCTCACCTTCGACGCCGCCCTCCCCAATCCTCGGCCCGATTATACGCCTCCTCCCCCCGCCGCGCCGCGCTGGACGAGGCGCTGACGCGACGGCGTTACGGGTGTGGCACGTTGCCGTCGTCGTCGTCGTCGCCGTCGAGGCGCGGGCACCGGGGCTCCTGGCGGCACTGGGCCGCAGGCCCTCCGCGCGCATCCGGGCCAGGCTCCTCCGCGGGCGGGCCAGGCCCCTCCTCCTCCGCCTCCTGCGCTTCCTCCTCCTCCTGTTCCTCCTCCTGCTCCTCCTCTCCTTCCTCTTCATCCTCCTCCTCCTCCTTCTCCTCTTCCTCTTCCTCCTCCTTCTCTTCCTCCTCCTCCTCCTATTCCTCCTCCTCCTCCTCCTCCACCACTCCTCCTCCTCCTCCTCCTCCTCCTCCTCCTCCTCCGTCGACGACGAACGACGACGAATCCTACAACGACAACGACAACGACGACGACGACCACGATGAAGCTGATGATCGCAATTGCCAACGAACATTGAAGCCGACAACCGCGACAACGCCAACCACGGCGACGACGAAGGCCGACGACCGACGAACGTCCACGACGACGGCCACTACGGCAACGGCTGGAGCTGGTGGCGGAACCGTTGAACGCCCAAGACGCCCAAGAAGCCCTACACCCTCCCCCAGAGGCCCATTGAAGCACTGCCGGGGCCCAAGACAAACCCCCCAAAGGCTTTCAACATTCCCTAGATAAAGCTTCCAGAACGTCTTCAAGGAAACAAAGGAGGACGAGACCAATGAAGAAAGCAAAAGGAAACAAAGAGAACGAGGATGCTGAAACGAATGGGGGCGTTCAAGACCCGCAAGGCACTGAACTGGCGTGGGTCTTACAACTCACACTCACGCCCCCATTCATCGATGGCCTCCTTGTCCTTATCATCTGCTTCTTTTCGTTCTCTCGTGGAGGGGGGGGCAATGCGGGGAGGAAGGGGAGAAGGAGGCTGGGTTTACGACACGCTCCAGCTCAGATCTCGGGAAGGGGGGAGGACAGAAGGGAGCCTGAAAAGGCCCAAAGAAGCCCCCGATAAGTTCCAAATGTGTGTTCGAGGACGGACAATAATGGCAAAGGAGAAAGCAAACGTTGAAGGAGGCTACGGAGAAGGACGGGGCGCTGAAGACCCGCACCTGTTCAAGCAAGGCACCGAACTGGAGCGGGTCTTTCACTCAACAATCCTCTCGCTGCGATGCCTCGCTGGCGCGGTAAGGAGCTTGTCCCAGCCAGGAGGACATGTCTCGAAACAACTTGTCTGTGAGGGTCCTCAACAAAGTTTCCAAGGCCAGCATGGGGATGTCCGCAATTTCAAATAATGGCTCGTAGTCTCTGGTCCTTGTCTCCCGCGGCATCTGCGACTACCTACCAGACCACCCCAACCCAACCCGAAGACCCGAATTTTGCCAGAATTTCGGGTTGGGGGGGGTACGGGTTCCACATGTGTTTTGTCAGTGTTCCCTGACCCCCCCCCATCTGGAAATGGAGAGCAAATCGGGGCCTTCGGGTTCGGGTTGTGGCGCGTGGTGGGCGGTGAATCTGGTCGTGGCGCGTGGTCTCCCGTATTACGTATCCTGAGTCCGTGGCCCGTGGTCTCTGGTCTTGGTCTCTGATCGTGGCCCGTAGTCTCTGGTCGTGGTGCCCGGTCGTGGTCTCCCGTGGTCTCTGGTCGTCTCCCGTTGAGTGTAGCACGTTGGACTGCACCATAGCACAGCACAGCACAGATTCCCATGTTGGTCTCCTACGAAGCTGGCTCGTGTCGTCGACCGCCGCATGTGAGATGCGTGTTTTCTCGTCTGTGGGTGGAATGATGCCAGGGCCGATGCTCGTTCGTCGCACACATGTGCAACACAACAAAACGGATAGCTCTGGAAGCAGGGAACCACCTGCGCGCTGACCTCTCAAGTGGGTCTGCCTTTTCCTCCGCCGACCTCTGGGTGCATACTCAAAACATCCCTTTGTGTATGCCCTTGCTTCAGTCAGCGTGACCATGAAAATCTCACTCTGAGCCCAGAGTACTTATAGGGATGCCTGTCCTCTGGGATGGGAAGCTGTAATCGGGGGTGGGGGATCTGTAGTCCGCGGAGGGGGGTCACTTTTGACTTGTGGGGGCAGCCGACGTCTGCGCAGGGGGATCCGTGCGGTCTGGTGGGGGCACCTGCTTGCAGGGGGGGTGTCGCATGCTCGTCTCGTGACGTCGGCGCTGGCTTGTCTGACGCCTCGTGGACCGCTCGGCCCGGAGAGGCCGCGGAGCTCCGACAGGACAGATCGCTCGATACCATGCGCTTCTGGGACACGGGCGGCGGCCCGCAGGTGGGGGTCGCTGACGGGCCCGACGCGGCGCGAGCCTGCCGCACGGGTGCGATGGTCAACGGCGAGGGACGGACGGTCAACCGACGACGACGACGACACCCGACGGCAGGACGGCAGACGACGCCGACGGACGACCACGACCGACGGCCAGCGACGACGACGGAGGCCTACAGTTGGACCCATGGGACAGGAGAACACCCTTCAAGAACATGGGACCCTCTGCTGGCCATAAGACACAGAACATCTACGGGTGCCCTCCTCAGGATGCACAAGAGCATCCAACGAACACGAAGAGCACCAGTGTACCCTCCCCGAGCCGACCTCGATCTTATACCTTACGACAGGATGGCAGACGACGAAGACAGAGCACGACGGACGACGGCAGGCGGACGGAGGACGACCACAGTCGGACGACGACGGACGACCGACGCTCCACGACGACGGACGCCCACTACAAGACGACGACGACGACGCCGAGGGCGGCGGCGGCGCGCGGCCTCTCCGCCGCGCCGTCGTCGCCGACCTCGGCGAGGACCTCGGGCGGCCGCCGTCGACGGTGGCGACGACGACGTCGTCGCCATCTGGTTGTAGGGCTCCGACGTCGTCGTCGTCGTCGTTGAGCGTAGGTTGTGGTCGTCGGCGTTGTCGTATTCGTCGTCGTCCTCGCCGTCGTCGTCGTCGCCATTGTCGTCGTCGTCGTCGGCGGCGTGGTCGTCGTGGTCGTCGCCGTCGTGGTCGTCGTCGTCGTCGCCGTCGTGGCCTGCGGCGGAGGCGCCGACGACGGCGACGGCCGTCGTCGTCGTCGACGCCGCAGGCGGGCGGCCCGCGGCGACACCCGCGCGTCGCGCCCCCCCCCCCACCCCTGCCGTGGGCGGGGGCAGTTTGCCCGCGGCGTGGGGCTTGAAGAGGGCCACACGACGACGGTCCGATCCTCCTCCTCCTCCTCCTCCTCCTCCTCCTCCTCCTCCTCCTCAAGTCAGGGTGGCTCTCACATCGATTATTTGATCGTGAGCCCTTCATGCATCCCCTATGTCACCGAGGTCCGCACTGTCGAAGCGGCCCCTTGGAAGCCGCACTGTGGCCTCCGCACTGCGTTTCGCGGTAATGGTCTTCAGTTGCCCACACGTGCGCTCGTTGCCGCGCCTCGCTTGCCGCGGCAGCCTCGGCCGAGGAAGGAGGCCACGGCTGGGTCAGGAGCTAGGCGTGCCAAACTTGAGTCTCGTGAGAGGGCCTAACGGCTCCGAGAAAAAATAAGGCCGTCAGTTGCGAGCTGTTTTTTATTACCCATCTCCTTGTCCCTGACACTCACCCCTCCACCTCCCAGGGTAGCCCCGTCAGCCTCGAGGGTTCTCTTGGTGAGGTTCAGGGGCCTCAGGACGAGGGAGACGACACTGTTGTTCCTTTTGATTTTGAGCCCGAGGACGAAGGGGACCCCTGAGCCCACGAATCGCGTTTTGCCCCATCTCCTAATCGTCGGGGCGCGCCTCCCAGGTCTCAGTCTAGTGGGGGCGGTACCGACAGCGAGGAGCGAGCCAGCGCAAGTAATGTCTGCCAGGATAGCGTTCTAGGTGTCACTGCGGGGGGACAAGGGCACAACTTCGCGATGGCCCTCGGGAGTCGAGTCTATCCAACTCCCATGCGGCTGCTGATGCTGCGCCCTCTTTCTCCATCCCTGCTGCTTCTGGGTCCGTTGCCGCCTCGGCTCAAGCTTGGGATTCGCACTCCATTGAAGCAGTCTGGCCAGCCATCAGAGAGTCTATCGCTTTCGCTGCAGGCCAGCAATACATACTTCAGGCCAGTCGTCGCCACGCGGCGTGGGTGAGAACGGTTGAGCAGGTCATCAACGCGCACCACGGGGTCGACGCCCCTCGGCAGTCAAGGGCGCCGGGCCTTGAGCTGGCGGTGGCCCCAGCCGAGCAGGTTGCACGCGTCAGAAAGCAGCCGTTGCGCGACAAGGTCGCCTCATGGGACCCCAGCGCCCACGCGACTCTCGCCAAGAAGATCGTTCGGCATCGCGTCAGGCAGAATGGAGTCATTCAGGTGGCGCACTTGGTCGAGGCAGCGTCGACGCTCGTTGCCACGGCACCAGAGGACGCTGCAGCACTTAGCAATCCTTGTTTTGGCAGATGGGACGATATTGTAGTAGAGTTACGTGGTATGAGCGATTTAGACATCGATCGTTTACGAGTTTGGTCGGATTTGTCAGATCGCGGTGCTAAGCGAGCGCTAGCACGAGCGACGGCAGCGTCATTACGTGATTTCCAGAGCTGGATGGCATCAGTAGATTCGATGGGTATTATTCACAAGAGAATCAAGACACCAGCACCAGATGTGGACGAGCTGCACGACGGCTCAGAGCGCCTGGTGCATCCAGTGGACATCATCGACAGGAAGACAGTTCAATGGCAGACGTTGTGGAGCTCTCAGTCTTTGCCGTTTGAAGTCATCATGTCAGTGCGCAGTCACATTCGGGAGCAGGTGAAAGTGGGGCAGCTGGATCCACTCACGGTCGACAGTCTACGCCGAGCCGCGCGTTCTATGAAGGCCAAACCTGGGCTCGGCGTGGGCCGGATGTCCCCGGTTGACTTCGAGCGCCTACCTGACTGCACGCTCGAGGAGCTATTTGGTATCTCTCAGCTCGTCGAAGACGGTCTCAGTTGGCCACGGCATGGCAGTGGTGGGCCGACTTTTGGGCAAGAAATGAGGAGGCGACAGGGCCGTCGGCCTCATGGCCATGTTTTGCCGTCTATGGAGCATGGCTCGCGAGGGCCAGATGCGCCAGTGGGCTCGCCACGAGGAGCCCACAGGGGACGCGGCTGTCGCGGGCAACAGTGAATTGAGAGAGGCATTCGTGAGTGTTGCGGGAGGGGCGGCACGTCAAGTTGAGCGTCCATCATGGTCAGGCGTTCCTTGACATCGGCGCCGTTTACGACAGCATCGGAGGACCTGTACTTGCCCAGTGTGCACTGAGGTTGGGATTTCCGCCAAATATATTGTTCCTAGAGCTCAGTTGTGCTTGCGTCCGCGCATCGCTGCACAACTCGAGGCTTATTCCTACCCCTTCCAGCCGACGCGCTCGGCGGTGCAGGGATTGAGGAACGGGGCGCGGCTGGGGCGTTGCATGACTTACTGGATCTTGCAGAGACTGACGAGCGCGCGCCCTCAGCTATCACAGCGGCTGCGGGTAGACGACCTGCCCTCGCGCGTTGCAGGGCCTCGGCAGTTAGTGCGAGCTACCTTGGTGAAGGGCATCATTGACGCGGTTGTCGGCATGCATAGCCACGGGTTGGGCATCTCGCCCAAGAGCGTGGTCGTGTGCGCCAACCACGCCGACGCCAAGCATGTGGGAAAGATGCTGAGCAGACGTGGTATTGTTTTGTGAAGGGAGCGCTGCAGGCGGCGTACCCTGGGCGCTGGTCCGGGCAGCGGCCGCAGGCAGGCTCGCGACACGGCGCGCAAGCGGGTGACCAGGACAGGCGCGCATCGCGACGAGCTGCGGAGGTTCGCCCGAGCACCCAGCGGGTACTCCGCGACCTGTCGGTCACGAAGGGCGGGCCCGCAGGCAGCAGCAGCATGCGGTCATCAGGTGCGCGGCCGCTTCGGGAGTATGCTGGGGTGTGGTCGGCGACGGCTGGCAGCGGCGGCAGGTTCAGCCAAAAGGGGACGATGTGTTACTACGCTTATTTCCATGCGGCTACCCGATGCGGACCCAGGTCTGGTTCTGCCGCGTCAGCGTCTCACACAGCATTTGCGGGTGTGGATTGCAGGGCCATCCTTGCGCGCAGGCACCCAGCGTGCATGGGCGCCCACCGTCCAACACTTGGCCAGTCTTCCCGAGCAGCACAGGTCGCGACACAGTCGTGGCCCAATGTCTGCTGTCATCGCCTACTTACTACAGGTGGGCTCGAGTCCGAACTCAGCTGCCGAATGGGACACCACGACTGACAGTTCAGGTGACAAGCACGCGTGGTATTTTCCCTCTGCGGCCCTGACTGGATTGGATCAAGAGGCGCCCCTCTTGGACGACTTCGAGGCCTCGAGCAGCCGACGGTTGTGGCGTAGTGCGGCAGGACATTACTGCGGACGAGGACTGGAGGAGGGTGCTGGCATGGCTAGCTATCGCTACTGTGTGCACAATCTCTTGGATGGTTATGAAGGCAGGCAGATATCCGAGTTGATGCTGGCCATCGCGGTGAGCGGCACGTGGCTTCAGGAGCGCAAGTTCGAAGCAAGCATGATCGACTCCAGCGAGTGTTTTCGATGTCATGATGGAGCTGGCTCCGCTCTACACCGCACGTGGCTGCGCAACTGCAATGGCGGAGACAAGGCGAACGAGGAGTCCGACTTCTGAGTGCCGCGGGTCATAGCTGAGCAACATATGTTTCCGTGTTTTTGGATGCGGGGCATCAATCCCGCTGTTTGGACGTCCGTTTCGGCTCCCGCGGAGAATCCAGCTCGGAGTTTCGGCAACGTCTCTGGGGCTCTTGAGGGGCCGCTCCTCGGTCATGGCACGCGTGGCGCGCCTCTGATCACTTTCGGGGACGCGACTGGCGGACCTGACACTCACGACCCTCGCCTCAGGAAGATCGGCATGAGCATGACTGTCCTCACGAGCTTCTCACCCCCCGCTCTAGGACCGTTTTTGCTGGGACCGCTCTTGGGCACTCAGGCTCAGCAGACGGTGCCACGCGGTGAATTGCAGAGCTTAGCGACGGCCATTTGTCACTCAGCAGGTGTTGTGATCTACGTTTCTGACAACGACGAAGGTTGCAGGGGCTGGTGGCAGTCAGTGTATCAGCGGCCCCAGGACCCGAACGCTGACATCTGGAGAGATAGGCGAGTTGTTGTGCCTCCAGGACAGGTCAGCCGACGATGGTATTCCTCTCCAGGTACCCTCCCCCTTCAGCCCCCAGGAGGCCTTATACAGAGGCATTTCTAGTTGGCTAATTCAGGGCGGCGAGGTGGTCGATGGTCTCGCCGAGTGCGCGGCCACCTCTGCCAGGCTCGACGAAGGTCAACGATCTCGTGTGGCCAAGGTCGAGCAAGAAACGAGACTTGTGAGGAGACATCTCCTCCGTGTTGCACTGCTCACCTCGCGTGCTGAGTGCGAGAGGACGGCGAGCGAGCGTAGGGCTGTCGAGGAGGGCAGCGTGCCCCCCCTCCTTCCCCTCCCGCCTCTGTGCATCGCCCCAGGCCCGCTGCTCTCGCGCGCTTCGCGTCCACGCACGTCCTGACAGAGGGCGGGCGGGCCTGGCTTAAAAATGAGTGTGGTCCCCTTGGGGCCGTTGACGGTAGGAATTTGGAACTCCCCCGAAGGCGGTCTTTACACATCGCTGAAGGTTGGGCCCACCCCACGCAGAATTTGATCTTTGGTACGGTTCATAAGGTATGGATGTGTAAAGATTGCG